AACGTCTTCCTTAACTCACAGGATAATGATCTTTTTCTTTCCCCCTGGGGGGTTGTGCAGCAGAAGAAGTTATTGACTTACTTCAATTAAAATAGATGAGTCGTTGCAGATGTTTATGACCACCGTGCACAGGTGTGTCAAATCTCAGCGCTTCTAGTTTAGGAATAAAAATGTTTAGTGAACACTAATTCAACAAACCGAGCACTCTGATTTTAACGTTTCCTTCCTTCCCTCCAAATAAACCCCTCCCTGCTTCAGGAGACATTGACACCATGATGGACAGGCTAATTGTTGGAGGCTAATGGACGCCAGACAGCAACAGGTGGCTACAAAGAGACATTTAGTCATGGATGGTTTTGTCATGTCCAACGTTAATTGCGCCAGCATTTTTCCAACTGTTGTCAGGTCAGCTGCAGGCTAAATCTCAGTGAGGCTGCGTCTTCTCCCCTTAAACCCCCGATGGAAGACTTTATGTCCAGCAGTAAATCACACCTACAGGAACTGTGTCAGGATGCCTGGATTCAGGCTTGAACTCTCATCAGTATTCATTAAAATCCTCTCATCCCCTAAAGGGACAAGAAATATTTCTAACCAGGATTATTGATTCCTCACCAACAGACACATCTGGAAATATGCTGATGTGATCACACAGAGCTTCAGAAAAATACCTTTTGTCTTGCACATTGATTCAATTACAGGAAAATATCCTTTACATGGACTAATTGTTGAGAGAACATGATTTTCCAAACACTGCATATAAAAACTGCAAAAGAGGCTAAAAATAAGCATTTAAAAATAATTCATATATCAATGTTTTTGCTTGAATAAGTCACAGAATGTGCTTAATGGCTCAGTATTAAAATCCTCCACTTTAGGGTGAGGTTAAGCTGCATTTAAATGAATATTTAGTCATTTAGTTGAAGCTTTTGTTCAAAGACACGCACAATTAAGCCAGATTCTCTCTTGTTTTAAGCCGTAAGTGTTAAATCTTCAGAGAATAACAGAGGGAGTGAGAGAGGAGCTATTAAAACACACCTGATGGCAATTTTAAAGGCATTCTCAGCATGGCGTGGTCAGGAAACAGGTCATCTTCTGTAAGAGCAACACACTTTTAATTTTTGTGTGTTTGAAGCTGTGGAGTAAAATTCTCATTGTATTTTAGCATATCCTCAAATGTCTTAGGTCAATTTCCAAAACTTGTGTCACGAAGCAAAGTTGGACAAAGATCTGCAAAAGCACACCAAATCACAACTTTCAAAAACCCAAAGTGGAGCACAAACAAAACAACAGGAAGCAGAAACCTTCAGGAAGTAAACACAGGACTGTTTAAAAGTGATTACTTGATGAGAAACAGCTGGGTGATTAGCAGCTGGAGCACAGGTGTGACAGTAAGACAAAACTGGGCCACAAAAAAATAAGAAAATTGGGAAATAAAGGAAGTTAATAAAAATAATCTTATTGTGAAAAGCGTGCTGGTCCCAATAAAACAGGGGTAGCCAATCCTGGTCCTCTTGCTGCTATCCAGCATGTTTTAGTTGTCTACCTGCTTCCATACACATGAATTTAATCAGTAGGTGATGTAGAGTGGTAAATGTTGTTGCTTTTAAGCTTAATTTATTACCTTTACTTATGACCAATAAGCTGTGATATTCTACACAAATATAGAATATCGACCTGCTTGATCTTTGGATGTTTAATCAGAATATTCTAGGATTCTTTGCTTTTTCAGGGATCAAACACACACATCGTCTCAATTCAGACAGAGTCAGGTTTATAAAAGATAAGAAATGTATTTTCTAAACAAATGAAAACAAGACAAGTTAACCAAGGCTAATGTGATGGATGAATCTAAGAGGATGGGATGTGATGTTTGGTGACTATGTGTGAATGTGAGATTATGAGAACCTTGTATCTAGAAGAACTGAGTTCTGGGTGAAAAGAATTTGGTTTGCATTAAGCTATGAAGTTGGTTCTTATCAAACCGGCATCAGACGCAATCTGTGTGTCTACCTCACCCTTTCTTTGGAGACCCTCTTCGCGGATCCAGAGGTCAGGGAGGCCGGATGACCGCTGGACACTGAGGTTTGGTAGATGAACTGCAGCACCGACTCTCCAGTCCAGAGATGTCTCCGAATCACAACAGATAGATGAAATTGTTGCGTCTAGAACAGCTGTTTCAGGATAGCTGAAGAAACCGTTTTGCTGTGTCAGCTGTACGCAGCTTTTAGCTTGTCAAAAGCTTTGGGTTAAAGAGGGTTTGCCTGTCCGTAGCTTTCTCTAGAACTGACTCACCGTCTAGTGAGCTCTGTTTTAATATTCTCATATTAATTTCTTGGCCAACCGGGATGTGCCATGTTAAGGGGTGTTCACAAGCAAACCTCAGATCCTTTCAGATACAGGATGTTCTGATTTGTGGAACAGAAAACAATGCGTCAGGATATTAGCTTAACCTTGTCATCGTCACGTGTCTGAGTGTGTGAGCTGTCAGAAAATAGTGATTCACTTGTTAAACCAACATTACTGATCATAATATCAAAATGTTTCATTTCAACCACAGTATTTTAAGCACAGATTAATCAAAACATTATTATTAATTCATATAACACTTGTTCATTCATTTCACGATTGATTAACTCATGTGAGCCGAAAATACTCACTTCATTCAGAGGCATGAGGAATCCTGCGGTGTTATCAGAAGAAGGCTTTGTTTGGGAACACAGGCTGACATCGTGTTCCTCCTGAAATGTCAACAAGGTTTGCAGAACCTTGCTGCTTGTGGGAAGGTAGAATGTGAAATCCACCTCAGAGAATGGAATTTATGTCTTTCGGTGACCGGTGGCATGCTGGATGTTACAGTGATTTACAGGCTTCTGTAGAGCTTGATGACCTGATGACCGGTGAATCAACCATTGAATTACGCATGTTGGAGCAAGGAAACAACTAAAACAAACTGGATAGTGGCACTCGAGGATCAGGACTGCATACCCCTGCAGTAAACCCAGTGGTAGTGCTGTAACGTCCAGTCCCGGTTCCACTATCCTGCAGGTTTTAGACGCTTCTGTCCTCCAACACACCTGATTTGAACCTGTGGGCATTTATCAGGCTTCAGCAGAAACTGAGGACATCATGAATGGGTCATTTAACCACTGATTCAGGTGCTGGAGCAGGAAAACAACTAAAATATGCAACAATGTTTCCCTATGGAGATGCCTTTTGCTCTATTCAGGCCTTGTCAACAGCAGTTTTTAAAATCAGCTTTTTAAATTGGGCTGGTCATTCAGGAGATGTTAGTCAATTCAAAAATGTTATGGTTTAATAACCCTCATGTTTTGTTGAGTTTTAGAAGAAAATGAATCAGTAATGACAGCTATTTTTCCTTTAATCTCAGTATGATCTTGTCTGATTGACTGCTAGGGGATTCTTTAGTCTTTACTTAATGATGAACCTGCTCGTTTTATTGGGGAATTGTAAATTTAAACTTTAAAATAAAACCACTCATGTACCTAATGTTCAGTTTTATCCTCTTTTAGCTTTGCAGTGGCACTCTTGGGTGCATAGAGCAGGTCCGAATACCCCGGTGTTACCAGTGTGCTCCAACAGAGTGTTAATTAACACAATAAAGACCAACAATATAGAAACACTGAGAAAAAAATTACCTATTTTCTACTTAATAAAATTAAGGCAACAGATTACAATCAGTATTATCAATTAGATTAAACTAGTTATGGATTAGAGTTCAATTTAATACATTTTAACGTTTTAATTCAATTAAATTCAAGTTTATTTATATATCGCCAAATCACAACAAGACTCGTCTCAAGGCACTTCACACAGTAAACATTCCAATACAGGTCAGTTCATTAAGCCAATCAGTAAAAAGTTTCTTATATAAGGAACCCAGCAGATTGCATCGTCACACACACACACACACACACACACACACACACACACACACACACACACACACACACACACACACACACACACACACACACACACACACACACACACACACACACACACACACACACACACACACACACACACACACACACACACACAATATAAATGTCAAAACCTCATATATATAAATATATTTATAGGAAGTGTTGACATTTATATTTCTCAGTTATTACAAAAAAACACTAGAATTAGGACAGCTTTTAATGATATTTAACATTTATTTATAACTGTTTTGTTGGTGAGATGAGAGAAAACTGAGAAAATAAGATGTAATTGAAAGGAAAATCTAAATTTTAAACCCATCTTTATTTCTATTTAAATTGCAGGAAAAATAATTTGTGGTTTTAGCTTGAGGAATGACTTAAATCATCATCATTACCACAACAACAATTCAATTTAATTGTTAATGAATAATTCTTGCATGCATAATTAAAATCCTTTTGTTATTTTTGGTGAATTCTCAAACACAAAAGACACAAAAACAGTCTTCTACAGCCTTTCAAACCTATTTATTTTATTTCATTAGACATAATGGCTCAAATTATAATAATTTACGACCCCCCAGTCTTCATTAATTCTGTGCTTTGCCAAAACACTGTTGTACATTCGCAAAAAAAAAAAAAAACATTTAGAAAATGACTTCAAGTAACTAATTAACATTTAATAAACGTTTTATTCTGGGCTGCATCAGTCAGATTTTAAACTGCCGGGCTCGGGGGGACTTTTTTATGTCTTTGGGTGAAGGAAACAGCTTTTATACATAATTCACATCTCCCTCTGTGTCCTCTGTGTCCTTTCACCGGGCTTTAATGTGCTTATTTTTCTGCTCACTTGCAAATTGAATCTCAAGGGTATTATGCTTTATGTGAAATAAGTGTGATTGTGATTTACTGTACAATTTACTCTTTGGTCCCTCAAATATGTATTTTTGAGATGAAACTACAGGTAAGAGGAAATGGATTCGAAGACGTTTGCAGATCAGTAGGACTTTTCTCAACTGACATGAGATTTAAGTACTTTTTTTCCTTCTTTTGCAGAAATCTTTTGGACAAGGACACTTTCTCCAAGTCTGATCCATGTAAGTTCAAGTTCAAATTAGATAATTATAGCATTTTAATACTTACACATATTTTAAGCTCTGGAAATCCTCTGTTTTTATATTCCTTTATGTTTTACTTCTGCTGAGTTGAAGTTTAATTCCGTTTACTCTGCTATTTCACAGTGTTCCTCCAGTAACAGCATATCATTTGCACAGTAATATGACAACCTTTTCTTGCTTGGAGCTAAAGCTAATGTATGCAGGGTATAAACTGCAGCTCTTGAATATAAATGGCTATCTTTTGGTTTGAGAAATGGGAAAATGTCCTAAAAGCCATTTTTTGGGTTGTGTTCCTCGCTGAATAGAGCGTTTTCTTTTACATAAGCTCTGTGTAAATAAGATGTGGGGACAAATATCACACCCACCCATTTTAGTACATGCCTGAGGCTTAACCTGCGGATAAATAGCAGGTCACATCAGCACCACCCCGCTTTACTCTAAGCTGTGAATTCCAGCAGGAACCAGGAAAATCCCACCCATTAGGAAGTTGTGTTTTGATTGCAAGTCTCACAGAAAAACTGTGCTCCAGGCGATTTTATCTTTTTTATTTAGAGCTTTGTTCAAAAGATTGCAGATGTCAGTCAACATTAATCATGGAGCTTGGCGCTTCATTGTGCTGTCAGGGCGTGGTGGGATAATTGATGATGAATGTCAGCAGTGAGGGAATAAAACAAACACAATTTGTGGATTCAAACTGAGACCATCCTCTGACGGTGAATTATTTTCCTCTCCTTCTCCTTTTGCATCTATCCTCTATCGCCTCACATCTCAGTGGTCGTGTTATACACCCAAGGCGCGGAGTCCAAACAATGGAGAGAGGTAAGAGATCCCAGCCGTTCTCCCTGTCAACACAAGTCAATCAGTGGCTCTCTGCTCTATGACAGCCTGTGTTTTATTTGCACCCTCCTGTCATCCCCCCACCCGCTCAAGGTAAAGGCTGCGTGCCAATCATTTGAAATTGATTGACCCTGTGAACATTGGTGGTCAGCACTGTGTTAGCTTTGGCCGCATGACAGATTAAGAGGGTGGCTACACGTATCTTTAAAGATTTTTATTCCGCATCAGATTCCCCTCTGGCTGCTAGAAATGGGACCTAATTAGATCAGAGAGGCTGATAAATCCAGAGGAGTTTACAGCGGGGCACACGGTTCATCTGTAAATATGCTTAAACTGAAAATGGATGGGAACGCGAGGAGCTGGTGACTTAAATTCATCATCGCCTGTTTCTGTCCCACATAACACTTAGGTACTATCTATGCAGCAAACGTGGCTCCTGGTCTTATACTTTTATTGACTTCCTGAAGACTAACGGTCAAAATGCAAATCTCTTCATTTCTCTTGCTGTTTTTTTTGTTAACTATCTCAAAACCGGAACCAGGTGCAGTGAAAAGGGTCCTTTAATATAGGGAAATGGTAAAATAGAGAAATGAGCACAGATAACTAATAAAATGATTAATAGCTGAAAAGAATGTGCACTGACTGCCTGTCATCCTGCAGCTCTTCACGATTTGAGTCTATGCTGCTTACATTTACTTTTCTGTTGTATAATGAGAAACATGAGAAAGCTGAACTCAATTCAATTCAAGTTTATTTATATAGCGCCAAATCACGACAAGTCGTCTCAAGGCATTTCACATAATAAACATTCTAATTCAGGTCAGTTCATTAAGCCAATCAGAAGTAATGTTTCCTATATAAGGAACCCAGCAAATTGCATCAAGTCACTGACTAGTGTCAGTGACTTTACAGCAATCCTCATAACAAGCAAGCATAAAGCGACAGTGGAGAGGAAAACTCCCTTTGAACAGGAAGAAACCTCCAGAGAATCCTGGCTCAGTATAAGCAGCCATCCACTATGACTCACTGGGGATCAAGAAGACAGAGCAGGCACACGCACGCACACACGTGCGCACACACACACACAAAGACAAGTAATGTGTCTATAGTTACATTGTGATTTCTTAGTAAATATTCTATTTGGCGAGAGATAAACTTTATTGTATTTATCTTAGTGAATCTACAATTAAACGGATAAACTAGTATTAGCACATCCAACGTCAAGGAAAGCAAAAAGTTATCAGGAGAGGGAGAATGTTTTAGTGGTTAGCAGCAGTGTGCTAGACGATGCACACATGAGGGCTCCACAGCTCAGCAGAACATCGTTGTAGCTTCTTCTGGGGAGAAAAACACTTACAGAGAAAAGTTAACAGCTGAAATTGCAGGAAATAATACAGTTAAAGAGCTGATTGTAGAAGAAAGCAGTAGAGTGTGAAAAGTGGTCAGTGTGTCCTCCATAGACTGTACATACAGTCCTCCAGCAGTCTAAGCCTATAGCAGCATAAAACTACAGAGATAACTAAGGATAATCTATCCTATTTTTTAACTCAGATCTGTTGAAGAGGGTTTATGCTGAAGATATTAGAATAGTTAGTATCTTACATGCTGTGGATAGTTATTTGAAAAACATTCATTTAGAGATGTTTAGAGTTAATTCTTAAACCTTTGCGATACTTTCAGTTTTAACACGATCATTGTGGAAGAACATTGACACAGCAAATTTCCTCTTTCCACTATGTGATGTAACTGAGTGTAAAAGGACATTTTAAACAGCATTAGGCAAGTAGCTTTATTTATATAGTACATTCATATGCAGGCAATTCAATGGGCTTTCCAGTAGCGAGACTAACTTGAATTTTAAAATTAACGTGCTAGCACAATTAAAATACAAATAATTTAGACCAAATGAAATACTTTTCTGAACCATCACCTTGAGTCTTGAGATGGTTTCAAAGCTGCTTAGTGACAATTAGTAGCTTTTACGGTTAATCTCTGGAGATATAAATTGAAATGTTGAAAATGAATAAAAAGATGCCCAGTTATTGAAAAATATTAGCAACATTGTAACATAACCTTAAAAATCTTCTAAAATATATGGGAGCAGGTCTAAGTCTCTGGGCGACACCATATTAGAGGCATGTTTCCTTCTACGGGAGCCAAGGAGGACAAAATACATTTATTGATTTGTAAGATATGGTTACAAATCTATTGACAAACATCGTTGTTTAGCATATTTACCTCTTCGCTTGTCACCAGTGATGAAAGCCAATCTGGTGTGCTTGTCATTTAGCTGGTTGTTGCACTCCTAGGGATTTTTGACACTAATGGCCATCCGCTGGTAAGGTCTTGCTTGAACACAAAAATGCTGCTTACTTGCAATGATTTAGATATGTACTGGCCCCTATCGCCAAAGAATATACACATTGTCACTTTAATAAAACAATGTTAAACAGACGTTTGCAGTAGAATGCAAAGTTACTATGTGCAAAGGCTGGCAAATGAACACAATGGTGGTAATTTAGTTTATATTTTTAATGATTTTAAAAAAAGTTGCAACATTACCCTGCTAATGTTATATATACCATGGAGGTTTTTCAGTGGTTGCAGGGAAAGGAACTGTTTTTTCACGTGAACTTTGTATACTCAAAGCAATTCTATAACACGAAACCCAAAGACCATCAACAAGACAGGCAGCAGCAGATTTTCTCAACAAGCTGGTGACTGTGTGCGCTCACGCAGCAGCTGTTGTTACAAACAACGACTCCTGTTAAGGTGCAACAAAATCAGCCCTGCACTGCAAAAAATAAAAATAAATAAAAAACACACTTACAGGAAATCTGTTGTGTTCCAGTTAGCTAATCACAAAGTGTTGTAAGATTTCCTGAAACTGCACCTCCTGGGTGTAGCTCTGAGCTGCTGTGTTGTTAGCAACATTACAGAAACAAGTGATGAGAAATTGTTGGATTAACTCAGGATTTCTTGTTTCACAGCTGATGACAGAATATGGTGAACTACATCCAAATACCTTTTATTCAGGGTAGATGATCAGGAATAATGTTCCGTCTCAACATATCCCTGCATGGAAACAGGCTTCTGCTGCAGCATCAGCAGGACATTAATCATGAAATAAAGGCTCAGGTCCATTTCTAATTGTGTTTAGAGCAGGTCTTTAGCATTTTAAAATAATTTAAACCTTTAATTCCAAACATTTGCAAGTAATGTATAACTTACAATTATCCACAAAAATTGAAATTAGCCAAACTTAAATACCTTTTTAGCTTTTGTGTTTTCAGCAGAGGCGCTGCATGCAAATAGGCATGGCTGTCACGCTGCGAGCAGGAGGGTTGGACCCAAGATGCAGAATACCCAAAATGACTTGAGGCAGGAGGGATTTGAGAAAATTCCTTTAAATAGAGGATGGGTAACAATCCAAGGGTGCAAAACCAATCTAATCTCAAACAACACTGACAAAACACAAAACAGAAGCTCACACATGTGCACAAACCTGGGGAAACTAGAGAGGGACAGAACAACGCCATCACATACAATGGACCTGGATGCGGTCATGGCACGTGGAGCTCGGGCTGAGCCGACGGTGACGGCGGGTGGAGCTCGGGCTGAGGTTGCAGAGCAGGAAACATCTAGGCTGACGGCGCAGTTCTGACCTCAGGAGACTGCTGGCGATGGTTGCGAAGTCATCGTCGTGTGGAGGTTGAGGTGGCGCTGTTGGGACTGTTGAGTACTGTAGCACATTGTCCCACCAGAGGGAAAGAGGTGGCGCCAACAGGAACAGGGGAGAAGGAGAGGATGTCTCGGGGCAGATGGAGATGTGGAGGAGGTGACTTGGTGTCCCAGGGGTGAGGAGGCAGTGGCATGAGCAATTGGTGGAGGTGAGTCATGGCCAAAGGTATCTTGCAGTCTCTTGGCAAAATCCCAAAAAGACACAGATCTGATTGGATGTACCTCAAAATAGTCTGCAGCTCACTGCAGGGCGCTACCACCTAAACAAAGCACCATGTAGGAGACGAGGAAGCCAGGTCTAAGCAACAAGCGCAGTCTTGGATGAAGCTTCTGCAAGTGTCTGGGTCACCATAGTACCTGTCGGGGCGCCTTGGTGTTGGTGGAGTCAAGGGTTCTGCTGGATCCATGGTTGGTCGCTCCATTCTGTCACGTTGCGAGCAGGAGGGTTGGACCCAAGATGCAGAATACCCAAAACGACTCAAGGCAGGAGTGATTTGAGAAAATAAATTCCTTTATTTAAGGAGGATGGGTAAAATCTAGGGGCACCAAACCAATCTAATCTCAAACAACACTGACAAAAAACAAAACAGAAGCTCACACATGAGCACAAACCTGGGGAAACTAGAGCTGGACAGAACAACGCCGACACATACAATGAACCAACAAACACTGAGAGACAAGACAGGGTTTTATACACAGAGGGAAGCAATTAGGGAAACAGGTAGCAGGTGTGTGGGGAGTGTAAGCTGAAGCGATCAGGAGAGACTAATTAACTAAATGCAGAAGGAACACGTTGAAGAAACTAACTGGATAATCTAACTATATAGAGAACTAAAGATAAGAGAACTAATAAACCTGAAACTCTACACCAGAAAAAACACTAAATCTTTGGGGATACTAAACTAAATGGGATGGGATAACTAAGTATAAAGTGACTAGGGGGAAACATGAGGGAAACCAGGAGGGAGCTGGGGACTACAAGGACACAGAGCATGACAATGTCAGGCAATTTCTTGGAGCTCCCAGACTACAAATTGAGGGGGCTGGCAAACTTTTAAGTCAGAACCAGAAGTGATACAGAGATAAGCTGTCACATGACCGCTATGTTGGCTGTCTCACACTCCCTGTCCCTCCCAGCTGCACTCATACTCGTTTGTCAAATCCGTCCCGCAATTGTTGGCTATGGAGAGCAGGTCTTTTTGCTTGGGACAACCTTAAAGCTCCACCGACAGTCAAATCAA